TCAAAAAAAGCACAGGTGTCACTATCTCAGTCACCCATGTGGATAGTCTATGGTTATTTGGCATCACTATCATTCCTAAGAATTGATACACTACCAATACGTATGCATGCATAAGTACTTAACAGTCAAGTGTTAAAGTTAACTGCCATGTCAGTTTGATTCAAGAACCACCTAGTAGATTAATAAAGCACAGTTGTGGGTGTGTCTGTGGATGACTGACGTAGTGCATAAAACTGAGGGAAGAAGACCCACCCCAGATGTGGGTAGCACCAATCAATAGGTTGGCCTACATGTCAGGCATCCAGACACACCCACAACTACGCTTTGGAAAGCTGAAAAAAACTGCAGATGCCTGTCCAAGTGATGGCAAAGAGCTCTTCCAAATGAGGACACTTCCTCCTTCTTTCCTTTTTTAATTTCTAGTCTGCCACTTATGCTCAACTTGTATTGGGAAAATGTAATTAAAAGACAAGGAGCAAAGGCAGGCCAACTCTAGTTCTAAAATGAAGTCATTTTATGCAGTTTTAATTCCTTGGAACTCTATTGCTTGTATTTTGTTTCCTGTAAGGTGAGATAGGGTATGCCTGCTTTAGTAATTCCTTGGAAGTCTAGAAAGCTAGCAGTTTTAAACATTTCCCCTAACTAAAACAATCCCTAGGTTCCAGTTAGGAGGATTGCATTTCAGCATTTCCCAACTACAGCATGGAAGCACCAACAAGAGGATCTTATTTACTGCAAAGCTTGAAGGGGTGGGGGGGTGGCATGAGTTCTCCATAAACAATACCTGAAGACTTTCAGTTCCCTCTGACTTTTGCAAGGGAGCCTTCAGGCTCTGAGCAGATGGTGACTTCTTTACACACTGAATTGAGTGCCCATTCTCTTGGATCGTGATATGGACTGTAGGTAAAATAAAAGGCACTGAAACACTCCCTTTCTAGCCATTAACATGAACAATCTGTTTCTAGCCATTAACATGAACAATCTGCCCCAGAAGCACAAGAGCCAGTAAAGTAACACTGTAGGTCACCTTATGCCTAGTCCCATGGTCACTGTTAAAGTTATGTCCCCCAAAGCTTAAGATTTCCAAAGCATTTTAAGTCATGGTTTTGCTTAATCTATGTCTCTCATCAACACAGGAGGCCTGTACCAGGTACCTGCTAAGCCTGTTTGGCAGGTTTCTGTAGTGAACAAGAGTTCCACAAAACAGGCCACATTAATGAAGTTACATAAACCCACCCTAATCTGGCCCACTGAAATGACAGTACTGTACTATTTTTCAAATCCCATGCTTTTGTTTCAGGTACAAAGAGAAGTAAATGTAACGATTTATAAAGCCAGGCGCTGGTGCATGGCTTAACAAACCCTTGAAGAAGCACACTCAGATGAACATGTTCTAAAATTAGTTATGGTTGCACAACTTTGTCAATGTACGAATGACTTGTACATCTTACCATGTTATGTTTCTCATATGACAAGATACCTGCTTATTGCATAGTATATCATGTACATAATTTTGCCTGCTTTTCTTTCATATGAGGGCTAATATTATCATTTACAAAGAAAAAGTTTTGGTTTTCTTTTTTGTATCAGGAATCAAACTCACGACCACATGCTTGCAAGGCAGGCAGTTATGCTGCTGAGCTAAATCCCTGGCTTAAATTTTGGCTCTTTACCATCAAAAAAGGGTGAATTTTATGGTATATGGATTCTCTCTCAATAATTTAAAGCACACTCAGAACTAGGACTCCCCGTGGAGATCCTGGCCCTGTACTGATAGAAACAGTAGCACAGTATTTTTGCTGTTCTTAAGGGCAGAAGAGCTTATCAATTTCCCCTTATGGGGACCAAGGCTGGAGTCCTGAAGTCAAAGTTAGCGCTGCCAAATTCTAGCTGAGTGTCCTTGAGGATGCTACCCTGTTATACCTACCTTATGGCATGGCGAAGACTTGGAACCATCCCATGTATGGCAGGAACTCAGAAGCTGAGTCTTGGTGAGCAGAGCCCTACTACTCTCCAACATGTCCTCCGTCCTGAGGCAGAGCACGTCCTTGGGTATCAGGCAGTTTGGAATCCATAGAAGCTTCCCCTAAGCCTTGTATCTAAATTGTGTCTCTGATTTAAATCTCAACAGCCACATCTTGGAGTCTGTGTTATCTTTTAATGTTCTGTGACTTCTGGGACTTTATTCACACTCCACTAGAGGTGATAAACTCAATTGACCCTCAGGAGACACCAAGCCACCTGCTACCTTTTTACACGTACATATGGTGAACATCCAGTGTTGCCACACATTACGTTCTTATGTACCTTGAATATTTCTGGTATCACTGCAAAGTCCATTTCTCAATAAGATTACATGGCTTAAATATTTTACTATTTGCTGGAGAAATCCTGCCTTTTTAAAATCATTTAAGTTTCTTTTTTTTTTAATTTTGAAGGTAGTAGAAATACAACAGAACAAGACAGAACAAAGCCAATTGAGACAATGCGGTGAAATCAGTACAGAACTTCAGAGAAGGTTACTGGGATAACAGTAATAGGTACCATAGTATATCTTGTTATCTTCACAATAGTTGTCTAGCCAATTAGGTATAGCAAAATCAAACCAAGAACAGAACACTATAAAACCAATCGAAAGAGACTATTGAATAGAATAAACTAATTAATCATAATGAAAACAGTGAAAACATTTGCTTTCAAACAGAAGATAGGAGACCCCCATATTTGCTGTATTGTATAGTCATCCTCCCTAGAGATGCTCAGACTTCTGTCTCCAGTTGCTAATGGGAGTGAGGTGGGGTAGGGTGGGTGGTTTGGGATGTTTTGATTCCCTGCCTGCACACTGGTAGGTTCACAGGAGACGCTGACTGGGTCTTCTCCTGGCTCGTGCCAGAGAGTTGCTTACCAAGTGGGCATGCGAATTGCTTCTTTGTGCAGGTGCCTGGGTTCCACAATGGCCATGGCTGTGTCTTGGGGGCCGCTGACTGGTTCTCCTCCTGGCTCATGCAGGAGTAAGGCACTTACCAAGAAGGTGGGCAAATTGCTACTTTGTGCAGCTGCCTGGATTCCACCATGGCCGTGGCCCTTGTTTAAGTTTCTTAGCTTTGTGTTTATTTGCTTATATGAACTGTACAATTCTTTCAAGCTATCAAAAGGATCTCACTCATTAGGACAAAGGTGAGTCCTGCCACTGTTAGCCTTCTTCACATGCATAAGTCTTTGCATTTCCATGTATTCTAACAACCTTCAGTCAAGTTTTAAATGTAATTTGTTATTTCTTGGATTTTCTTTGAATTTTGTTGAGATCTTTTTCCTGTTTGTTGCAAAATATATGGAACTGATTTTCCTTTAATAGTCGCCTCTTCCTTGGAAAATTATTCTCAAGAGTTTTTCAGTTGTTTCTTTCAAGTTTCTTGGCGAGGAAAAGTATCTGTAACAATTTCCCATTTCTAAGAATTCTCATTTCATTTTTCTTCATAATTGTGTTTCCTGAACACCACCAAGAAGTGGGAATGTAGGCCATGCCATGCTGTGCCTCTATGTAGTAGGTATACCTCTTAGAACAAATCAGTGTCTTGTCAACAGCTGAGGTTGGGAAGGTTACCAGATTTACAGCCCAAAGAGACACAGAACTGTGGGTTGGGTTAGACACCTTCATTCTCAGCTGCTCAGCTCTGCCGCACATGGCAGTTGTCAGGTCTCTGGCCCACCCATTGTTGAAGCAGTCCTTGGTCGCTTAAGTCTATAGCCAGTCCTCAAGGCAATCTACACTACCAAAATACACAACAGTGGCCATGTGCCAGTAATGAGCATGGTTATATAAGTTATTTACACCAGCCAGTATTGACTTTGGTGATAGAAGTTATTTGTATTGTGTAATAGAGATGCGCCAATAAAGGGGTTCTACTGACAGAATCCACTGCCTCCTAGATTCCCTTCCCTTCAATCTGAACAGTACCATGTTGCACTTTTGTGTTTCCCTACAATTACTTCTGTATGTTTCACGTCTGCCTTCTAAATTTAGCTTATAAAAGCATTTGGCTAACAAGAAATCTGTATATAATATGGAACATTTTAGAATGTTCACAAATTAGCAAATATTTTTGGGCCTGATAGCCAGCACTCATAATGACATAAGCCATTCCTAATGCCCTGTCAAAGCCCTGTGTATAGAATTAGTTAAGTGTCCTTCTGTGCCCTGACTGTGACAGAAGACTGGGCCCTCAGTTTCAGAAATTGCAGCCCAGAAGTTACCATGAGGGTGTCTAATTCTAGTCATGTCCATCTGGCTCCTGGTCTGGGCTGGTGTCTTTTCCAGGTAGTAGACAAGCCTATGATTTACGTTAAAAAAAAAGCTGGTCTGGGATTCAGTTTCTTTAAAGATTAGGGTCAACATTCCCACTATAATTTTGTTTAAATGCCAATTGCCATGTGAATTACTCTCCTAGATTACACCAAGGTTAAATGTGTCCTACCTAGCAAGACAGTGTTTATATAAAAGTACAGCAACTTAGCTATACTCAGAAATTCATCATGTTCTAGGGACAGGTCATCACTCAAGGTTGCTTCCATAGTTGGCTTCTACCTGGCATTGACAAGAGAGAATTTTTGGTAAGTTTCACAGGGAAAGAACACCTGCATAGGATTTGGGTTTTTTTCCTACCATGGTCCCACACATTTAAAAAACCTGGTTTAGTTCTAGCACAATTCTTCATTGAGCTTACAAAGAAGCAAACAAAAACACTAGCAAGCCATTACTTAGATGAAAATATATTTCACATTAAACAGAATGTACACATCATGCAAACAAGGGATCACCATACGTCACAATGCTATGAGGATACTCTCTCTCTCTCTCTCATACACACACACACCCCAGGCATCGATAGCAAAATAAAGCCATAAAGATGGGCAGGCATTTGTACAGTCAGGCCATGCTGCCACTTTGTGTGCTTATCAGAAAAGGGATTCCCCCCAGTATCCATCAAGATCAATGCCACTGCATTATTAGAGGCATTTATTTTATTCAGTATATACACATACACAAACATACACATTTTTCATAACTAATAAATTCTTAAACTGTAGCCTGCTTTAAAAGCACATAAATCAGATTACTATTGAGACTTGCAAACCTCTCTCAGCATTATGATTCTCTCCAAACCTTTTATTACAAGTCAAAACAAAAGTTTCAAGGAAAAGGCAATTGTAATCTGAAAGTCACATTTTACCACAATAAAAGAAAAATAAAACATAGCATTGTATGGCATAAAATGTGTGTGGTATACATTCTGGTGTCATTTTTCCCCATTCAGATTTTTTAATGTTACAGTCTATTAAAATGACATACTGGTGCCAATTTTGGGCCCTCTTATTTCAGAGCACTATGCTTTTTATCTGTTCCTGGTTTTATTACAGTTGGAAACATAGGAGCAAACAAGGAAAACATCCAAGATCCCAATAGAAAAGCAAGAGCAGACCCAAAACCAACCACCTGCATGAGACACATTCAGTGGCATTCAGTAGGAAAACCACTTGATGGTTTGGAGGGATTACAATGGGAGATTTGAAGAGGTAATAGGAAGGGTCCTTGCCTGAGTTGCCCATGCATGTAAGAATATGTATAAGAGAACAGAAATCACTACATATTGTTTAATTCTTCCTTACTAAATCAAACTGATTAACCCCAAAGGAGTAATATGGGGCAATGTATTTGCAGGTGGCAAAGCTTGAATAAAAAGACTTCCTGATAATATTTTTAAAAGAGAAGGCCCAGGGAGGGAGAAGCTCTTGAATTTCTTCTTCTTTTAAACAAAGGAAGAGATATGCAGCCCAGACTGAGGACATGTTTAACTAGAGTTGAGCAAATGCCTAGAATACTTATAGGAAGAAACATCTAACTGCTTATGGGCTCTGACACCAGGAAAGAGGCCACTGAGTGAACTTCCAAGACAGCATCACTCAGGTTAGAGGGTCACTGTGATAATAGACAAGGACAGGCAGTATTTTAGTGGCAGCTGAAGCTCCTAAATACAACTGTAAAACGAAACTTTGCTAAAGCCCAATAAGGTTAAAGTCTCAAGGTTTCTACCAAGAGAGACCAGTGTTTGACATACTACCCAGGAATAGTTACATTCAAGTCTAATAATTTGGAATCCAGTGGTTAAAGGTGACAGAAGTTTCTTCAGATGGCTGGCAGCTGGTATTTGGCTATCAGCAGCTTCATGGGTGCTCCAAACACCGCCTGTGTCAATTCAAACACAAAACCACATGGAATCAATGGAGAAAAGGATTTTGCACTTGATAATTAAATTTTCCTTGGCCCATACAATGTTTCTCAACAGAAGTACTGCTGCGGTATTTTGCACAGAACCATCCTTTTAGATGAGTTAAATTTTCTTTGTGTGAGACTTTCCTAAAACCTTCACATGTTTTGACCAAAGACTGATCTCTTCTATTTGGAAAGGCTGTCTTAACTCAGAGCACAGCTTTGGGAGACACACATGGAGCAGTGAGGGTATAAGGGGATGGCTGCCTGCTGACTCTCCCTTGCATCCAAACCTACAAATATCTCATGTCTCAAGAATTACTTTCTGAATGTTTTCGTCCACTGTGACAACAAAACCCACCAACGCATTTCTAAATACTCTGTAATGGGGATGGTACCACCTACAGTTGAAAATAATCGGGGGCTGGGGGTTTAGCTCAGCGGCATAAGCGCCTGCCTTGAAAGCAGGCAGTCGTGAGTTCCATCCCCGGTACCGATAAAAAGGAAAAAGACAAAAAAAAAAAAAAAAAAAAAAAAAAGAAAATAATCAGAGAACTAAACTATAAAATATATAAAAATGTGCAAGAAGTATGAATAAAGTCATTGCAACAAAAATTTTGGGGGATATGGATTTTACATTTCTTTTATGGATGTGGGGAATAAATTTAAGGATTCATAAATATTCTCCTAAGTTTTGTGGATTTTCTGGCTGTTATTGGCTAGTAAGGTAAGTGCACTGAAGGGGAATTAATTAAGTCAAGGTAAACTACAACAAAAGAAGCTTTTTAATAAATACAAAGCCATACAACTGTCAAGGAAACAGACTGCTCAGGTGAATTGTTTTAACCCATTTATGCACAGTGTTCCATTTTTGGAACACCTGTAACAATGGAAAACAATAGAAATTTTCTCTTCAAATTCTTGATCCTTGAATTTTTCTAGATAATATATTTTAATTTCATGCAATCATTTTTATTTATTATTTTGTTGTTGTTTTTCGTACCAGAGATTGAACTCACAACCTCACACTTGTCAGGGAGGCACTTATATCACTGAGCTAAATCTCCAGCCCTCATGCAAACATTTTAAAAAATTGTATAACCTTCCACATATATAGGTTAAGTGTGCCAGAAATCAGTTGCTCTTCTGAAGCAGGGATATAGTTTAGAAATAACCTGTCATGCATTTCCTTTCATGTGTCAAAGGACTGCAGGTATTTTCCTGAGAACTGGGAGAAGGGGTCTCTAAACATAGGCAAGAGCCTATGGGCTCAGATGGGAGTAAGTATACAAAACACACTTATCAGATGGGAGTAAGTATACAAAACACACTGACTTCAGCTGTGTGGCTTCCTTGACCTGTTACCTTATTTGAGAAGTAAAAAGTTTGGACGTTTATATTGGAAAGTTTACCTTGATTTAGTAGAATTTTTTATGTGTTTTATATGTTTCTTAGTCTGTTAGTGTGGCTGTTAATCTGTGTTTATGATAACTAACTTGATTTAAATAAATCTGATGCTGGCAAAAAGATGGGATTAAATCATTTTAGGCATTGAACTTCTTTCTAGTACTTGAAGTGGAGCACCATAGAAATCTAGTGACGGAGAATGCTGAAAATATAAAAATGTTTTTGAGTCTAAAGTGACAGGAACTATAGAAATTATTGGTATGGGTTGTTGCTTTCTTGGTTGGTCCCCCAAGTCCCAGCAAGGCTGATTCTCGGGAGACGCTGATTTGTTCTCTCCGTGGTGCCCGTGGCTCACTTGTGATGCTTACCAGGAAAAATGGCTCATTGCTTTCTTGGTCAGTCCCCTAAGTGGCTTGAATGAGCCACGAGTGTGCCAGGGAGAGAACAAGTCAGCCTCTCCCAAGAATCAGCCATGCTGGAACTTGGAGGACCAACCAAGAAAGCAATGAGCTAACCTTTCTGATAAGTGACACAAGCCACAGGCATGCCAGGGAAGACAGTAAGTCAGCGTCTCCTGTGAGCCTACTGGCTTGCAGGCTGAGAATCAAATGTCCCCTGGGCAGTCAACCCTCCCCCCCCCGAAACTGGATGGTTTCGAGGTCAGCCAGAGTTGATAGCAACTAAGGTATATAAGTCAACTAAATGCTTGTACTGTTGGGTTGATTTTGCTGACCTGGGGCCAGAGATCTGAGCATCTCTTGGGAGGATGACCATATGCAATATAGCAAATATGAGGGATTTCCTTCTAGCTTGTCTTTGAAGGCCAATACTGTTTTCACTGTTTTGCTTTGTTCAGATTAATTGTTTTGCTCTATTCAATATTGTTTTGATTGGTTTTATAGTGTTCTGTTTTTGGTTTGATTTTGCTATACCTGACTGAATGGACAACTATTGTGAAGATAACAAGATATACTATGATACGTATTATTATCCCGGTATCCTGCTCTCAAGTTCTGTACCAATTTCACTGCATTGTCTTAATTGGCTTTGTTCTGTATTGTCTTGCTGTATTTTACTATCTTTAAAATTAAAAAAAGAAATTATTGTTATAAAAAGATTTGGTGATAGATCCTAGCTGTGTTTTTACTATTAAAAAACAAGTCCCAAAGTGAAGTAAATGAAATATAAAATGTGTGTATCCAAGTGCACATAACTAGAGTGTATATAACCCATATTCTTAAATGAGAGGGTTTAGCATGTGCGGGGAGAGAGACAGGGAGGCAGAAATAGGCAAGAGGGGACACAAAGAGGGAGTAATTTTACTATTGCTGCTTTGCAGCGCTATGAGAATACTATTCTTATCCTTGGAAAAGGTGCTAATTGAGATGGGCTGGTGGTTGATTTTTAGCCAGTGCTTCCCAGTTTTCAGACTCATACTCCCAAACAGCAGAGGCAAGGTGGGCAGGACATAGCACTGAAGAATGCATATGAAAGGAGTACTAGAAATCTCTCTCAGTTCTTGTGTGTGCTGCAATATACAACATATTTGTATTTGCCTTCTTTCAGATAAAATTGGCTATCTTGGGGCTGAGTGATATTCATCCTATGTTCATATATCCTAGTTGGAGAGTTACAAATTTAGAGTATCATTGAAAGACTATACCTTTTATTAAAGGGATGCTGTATTTGTCAACAGAAAGTGTTTAGAGTAGTTTCTTGGCCAGGACTGTTAAATCCTTCAATGAGGTTTTTGTTACAGTCATCCAGGCTGAGATTTTCACTGGATCTCTTGGGGAACGTTGGAGGACCAGTGAAGTCTAAGAGATCTTGAAGTGCTCGGGCATTACCAGTTCCATTTTGGTCCAAAGACACTCCAGGAATCATTTCACTCACTGGTGAAAATTCTGGGATGGAGATCAGCTCTTCTTTGGAAACAGGACTAGAAGAAATGAAGACAGAAAAAGACAGGAGAGGGACAGATGAGAGAAGAAATCACAATATGTTAACGTGCTTCATTCTATTTATAATATTTTGTTACCTTACTTTGCTAGAGATGATGGATTTAGAGACAGAGTTTGTATGTGACACACAATAAAAAATACAAAGTTCAAATCTAAGAAGTGGTAGACATGGGTCTCTAAGGAAGTAGACTAGACAAGGCTATAAATGCTAAGCTTACATTGCCTGTGGGTGAAAGGAAAAAACCTGCAGGTATAAGCATTTTACTCCTGAGAAGCAAGGTCCTTCTAGAACTTTCAAAATGGGACATTCAAACAGACAGAAAAGCTACAAGTTCAAAGCCAAATGAAGAAAGGCCCTAGTTAACACTAGAGCCTCTGGTACTGCCTTTCCAGCAGTGCTATCCTGGCTGAGCTGCTTTTCCTGCCTCTGGCCTCAGTCTCCTCCACTGTAAAGTGGGAAAAACAGTCATTTCTCCCTCCCAGGGCTCCCATGAGTGTGAACATGACTATGCTGGGAAGTTCATGCCGAGCTACCTGAGTGCTCACTTAAGCCTGGGGACCAGGGTGGGCATCACTAACAAGGACCCTATCCATTTAATTACCTTTAGAGCCAATCTCACCCACTGTCTCCTCTCTAAAGCTACACTTCCAAACCACCCTGACTTATCCAGCTTTGACTAGTGAAGCCTCATTGTTCCTTCATTCTCTCTCTAGAGATGGAAGGAGTTTTACTGCTGCTTGCTATACACCAGGCGAATCCAGGCCAAGCAGAGTGAGTAGGTGGCTGGGAAACAAGGGCCTATTCCCAGGAGTCTCTTAATAACCAGAATAAGGCCAGTTTCTCTTTAAGATCATGGAGAAGAATCTAGAAAAACCAGTTAAACTAAGGCAGTCAGATGGTTCACCTCCCTTACAACTGAATCCAGTTCAAGGGGAGTAGCTAACCTAACACCATTTGTGGTGTTTGAAGCCTTGGAAAAATGCCTCATTAAGCAGCAACACCCAGTCCCATCTTTATTTTTCCCCACCTCCATTCCCAGGTTTAACATACTCCTGTCAGCTTGAACCATTGATAGAACTTGCAGACTGTCCCATTAGGTGGCTTGTACCACTAGTGTTACAAACAGGTCTAATCGCTTTTATCAGTCTTTTTACTAATAAATAAAGTCATCTGATGGGACAGTCATGAGCAGTTCATGCCACTCAGCAATGAAACATATGAATTGCAGCCTCATTGTGAACATGTTAAACAAATCTTCAGAGCATGGGAAAAAGAAATGTCACCCTAAGCTTGGGTACAGTCCCCACAAGTCACACCTCTCTCTAAGGGAGAACTTAGTGTGCAAAGCCCTTTCTTGAACTTTGGAGAGCTATACCATGTCTTGTCATTCTCCTCCCTCCACCCAAAGAGCAAAAAAGAGTAAGCATGGCTTGCACAATTTGGGGATGGAAGTATGTTGCATTAACCCTAAAAACTGTCTCAGTTACTTGAGGGGCCTACACAGGAGGACTACAAGTTCTAGGCCAGCCTGGGCAACTTAGTGAGACTCCCTATCTAAATAAAGAAGGCTAGAGATGTAATGCAGTTCAGTGGTACAGCACTTGCCTAGCATGCATGAGGCACTGGATTTAATCGCCAGTATGGGAGAAAAATTTATTTCAGTTGTTTTTCTGCTGGGGGCAGAATGGACCAGGTAGGGAAAGCCTGTCATGATGGTGGTGTTGGGGAGGAAAGACTAAGCAAGTTTCTGAGGGGTCCTGTTACTGATGATATTGCTGCACACATCTGGCTCAAGTCTAGTAAGGATGAATGGGACATTTACAATCAGTGTGTCAAGAACTCTACCTCCACCCTTTCCCCCAGACTACGCTGAGAACTCCCAGCCAAGGAAGGAAAGGTAAGCCTTCAGGCTGTTGCTCTACTAGTGCTGTTATAAAATACCATCACACTCTACTGACTCTGAAAACCACCCTATATCCCAACTGCTCTGCCCAAGGCTGTCTACTTCAACACCTCTACCTTAATTTCATGCCAATTAGTTCTTCTTTTTTTTGAGATTAAATTTCCAGATGATGTCATCTACAAACATGAAACCAATTTAAGAATTCTTTAGATTTTTAGGATCCAAAAGCAAATTCATTCCTTTATTAAGTCTCCAGTAACAAGTTTACTTAAATATGAAACTCCACAAAGGGACCCTGTTGGTGGCCTGGCCAGATCCTCTTTATCTATAGGTATACCCATCTCCAGCAGCAGAGAGTGGGCTGCTGAAGACTCAAAAGTTGCCACACTCTTTCTGGACAAATTCCTTTGGCTGATGAGAGCCAAGTCCTGCATTTTCCACCCTATAGAGTCCACAGGGAATGAGTTAGAGTGGTACAGAAGCCACCTACCTCATCTCAATCACGCAACTCTCGAGTGGAAATTCAGCTTCGAGAGCTCCTGTGGGATTGTCTGAGAACACACTGGTGCTTAGTGCCTTCCCTCCCTGCCCTTTCACTTAACGGACTCTTGAGAGTCTTTCCCTAATAACTCGCATGCCCAGAAATCTTGACCTAGGTTCTGCTTCCAGGGAACTTTACCCCTTCCTAGACTTTGGAGTTGTTCCACTGATGGCTTTCCTATAAGGTGACTATGCCTGCTTCAGGTGATTTGGTTGTGTAAGAGCTGAAGAAATTAACTAAAAGATGGTGACACTTTGGAGAAGGGATGCAGTTTAAATGCAAAAGAAAGTGACATACCTCACATCCATAGACTGAACTTCTTCAGTTGAATCATCCAGACTGTTTGATTTTCCATCAGTGGCACCCAGATGAACAAGTCCCCCAACTGGTTTAAGCCCATTAGAGAAAACATCTCGGGGAAAAGCTTCAGGAGCAGTGTGCCCCATGCCATTAATTTCCTGACATGTGTTCAATCTGTTGAGCTCTGGTTAAGAACACAAAATCCTTGTGTGAATCATAAAATATCCAGTAACAATGAAATAACAGGAAATACATAACAAAGCAATTAATTTAATCCTCTGCTTCACCAATAATGCAACCTTTTTCTTGCAAAAAGAATCACCACTAACCCCAAGTAATCACCTAGGGAAGGGAAGAAAAAGCACATTAAAATTGTCTTTGGGGCCTCAGGAGAAGAGCCAAGCCAGGTATTAGTAACACCTGTCCAATAGTTAAGCTTTCTGAAAAGCATCAAGGGCCAGCAGACAGCATGCTTCCCATGCCAGGATCAGCAGAGGAAGCTGATGGTTTTCTACAGATGCCCCAGGAAGGGAAACTGCTGGCAGTCATATTCTTGGGACTGCATGCTTTACCCCTGCAAGAAAGTTTCTGAGCTGTCACTGCTGAAAGAGACAGCCTAAGCACACTTACCTATTTTGTTGGGGACAATGGGTTTTATCTTATTTTCCACACATAAAACAGGCTGAATCTCTACTTTAGGGTCTTCTTTCTGAAAATAAGAGGGTGAATGATAAAGAAAGAAGGTTAACACTGCATAGTAAAACAAGTACTTTTTTTTAAAGCAAGAGAAGATATTTGGAGCCCTGCTGGGCCATGTGCCTGGTTCACAGTAAGTCTCTGAGTTTTTAGCTGTTTCATATTATTAATATGTCATCATTCTCTTTTGTATTCATGGACTACTATGCCTCTCCTTGCAAGTCCATTTCACTTCTCTGAGGAAATCTTTTACTTGCTCCATCTCTGAAGCTCCTCTTTTTTTCCCCTAGAACCTTGTATCTTCTTTAACCTAGCCAAGAATAGAGCAGGAAGTATCCATTTTTCCTAATTCTCTTTAAGACCTGCAACTACACTGAATGTATTCTGCTGTTCTTTTCCATTCAACATATAATGGTCATCTGAAGTCTGTACCTTCACTTCTGGACACACATCACTCTTCCTTGTTCTCTTCATGATTTCATCTATTCTCTGGAAACAAACAAAAAGTAAGAGGATTTTAAGACCAAAAACAAAAAAAAAGTAGTAGGTTCTACATGCAATTTCACATTTTTTCAGAAAACTTGTAAAAGTCAAATGTCAGGAGAGGACAATGAGTATAGAAAAGTTTTCCACTGTTTTTGTAGATGTGTACCTCTGGCCTATGAACAATGTCAAATGAAGTACATCATTGTATATCTAGAATCAATAATCAATTTATATCCCACCTTTTTCCTTCCTCTTCTTAGGTTTCCTATAAGTCAACAAGTTACCACCCAGAATTCAAGAGTATTGCCCTTGATACTCTGAGCTGAAGCTCAGGAGGGAAGACCACAGGCTGGTCTCCTGGCTCCCAGGCCTACAGGAACACAAAGCCAAGGCTGAGCCCAGTGGTGGTGAACCCAGGGCACACATGCAATAGCAGGCTGTTTGTATTGTTGAACACTCTAAAAGGTTTGCCATTCCTAGGGCATCAAAAAAAATATTTTTATAATCAGTTTTATTAAACCCAACTTTATAAGCGCATTAAGAGTAAAGGGACTAAATGCTCCAATTAAAAGATAAAAATAAGGGCCGGGAATTTAGCTCAATGGTGTAAGCTCCTGCCTGGCAAGAGTGAGGTCATGAATTCAATCTCCAGTACCAAAACAAACAAAAAATATAAAAAGATAAAAACAGTTATACTGGATTATAATAGTAAGTCCTGACTATATGCTATTTACAACAGACTCCCTTGTAAGGGGACATACATAGGTGCAAGTAAAAAGGCACAAAAATATTTACCATGAAGATACCAATCATAAAAAAGCTGCCAAAGCAGATTTCAAAAGAAATATTATTAGACTTAAGAAGGAGATTTTATTGTAAAAGGGTCAATTCAGCAGGACAATTTAACAATCTAATGTATACATTCAATTAAAAGCAGGGCTTCAAATATATAAAATAAAAACTGACAGACATGATAGGAAAAATGGACAAATTCATAACCACAGATGAAGCTCTATACCACTCCTTTCTCAGTAACTGACAGAACAAGATGACAAGAAACAAAAATACAGAAGATATGAATAGCACTATCAATGAAACTAACCTAATTGACAAGTCTAAGAGCACTCTACCCAATCAGAACACAGCTGGATTTACCTCCTGTTCCTGCTCCACCCTCATCCTAAGTCCTCCTGATCTCTCTGCCTTTACCTTTTTCCTCTCCAGTCGCTCCTGCTCAATCTGCAGCATGATCTGTTCTCTTTCTAGACGCATCTGTTTAGCTGCCTCCTGGGCCTTTGCTTCTGCTGCTTCTTTCTGGAAAAACAAACAAACAGGTAAACCAAGGTACAGGCTTTATGAAGCTAAGAAAACACTATAGTAATTCTCTTAGCTTTGTATAAGTTTCATCTCCTCATCATCTAGCCCAAAGTGGATGCCTCTCCCATATGCAATGTGGATTGATACAACCCGCTTTATGACATGGTAGATGTGGTTAGGCTTTATCCATATACCTCAGCTCATCATGGAAATCATCTGCAGTTTTCTTATATGGTCAAAGTCTCGGTGAGCCGAAAGTTTCTACAAGTTAATTCCCCCAGAAGCAACTTCGCACTAACAGGGTGGTACTGGCAGGTAAACTGTTCAGATTCCTTATTCCTCAGAAGGACAATTTTGAAGCATGCATTTGAAGGCTCCCAGGGGATCCCAACTGGAATGGTATTATGTTCCAGTTGCCCACAGTAACCCCTCATTAATTTGCCTCACTCTCTCATCCTTCCCTACCAGTTTCATGGAATCCCTTCTTAAATAAACTACTGGTCCCCAAATTCTTACCTTCGGTCTATTTTTGGGGAAACCAAAACTCACAGATAGCAAATTTGTACCAAGCAACTTATATTTGATGACTAGTCCAGACAGTTTGAGAACACATTCTAAGTACCACAAATCATTCAAATTTAATGAATTTCACCTAATATTAACTAAGGTCTTGAAAAACAAAATAAGGAAGTCCAACTGAAGATTCAGACTGAACCTGCTTTTCAATCACAGCTTTTTCTTGCTTCTCTTTCAGTAACAGCTCCTCTGCAGCCTTCTGCTTAGCCTCCTCTCCCACCTTTCTTTTTTCTTCCTCTTCTTGGAGTTTCTTTTCTTCTTCTTGCTTACGTGCTTCTTCTAGGTGCTGCTTTTCCTCCTCTGCTTTTCTTTTCAGTTCCTCTTTCTCCCACCTTTTGAGAACATAAGCGTTGTCAGAAGAAGACTGCTCAAAAGGCAAACTACCAAAGAACCATGAATAGTGGAAAATGCTTGGCAAGTTAACAAATGCATGCATCTGAATTTGTAACCATGTAATAAAATGACCAATCCTTCCTAGAAGTCCAACCCAGTCTGTATGTTTACCAAAAATATTAACCAGACTTGGCTTAAAAGTCTAGAGGACAAAGACCAACAAGATATTGATCTGTGATACCTATTGTAATGGTTCTATCACTCTATAAGTGACAGTGATGATATAGGAAGCCAGTCTCCATCATTCATATTTAATAATAACTCTTTTAACTAAGCACAAATATTAAAAACCATAAATCTAGAAAAACTAGGAAATGTTGCAGTGGCCGTAAATGTGCCACTCAGCAATTAAACAGCACTGGCCACACTCTCAATGATTTTACTTTGAGTTCTAATTCTGAAGCAGCCAATGGGAGAAAATGTTCAACAGAAATTCAAAGCAACTATATTCCATTTATTTTGGCAATCTTTAAAAGTCTATTTTAAGGGGAATGGAAAACAGAGAATCAAGTGGTGCCACGTACAGGTAAAAATTCCCTATGATGAATGTGATCATTATGCATACCTAAAATATACCAATAAACATAATTAATTTTTTAAAAACTCTATTTTACCTTTTAGTCTTTGCCATATAAAATTAAGTGACAGTTAGATATTTTTATCCACAGATGAATGATATAATGATAAAGAGTTCTAAGCAGTGGGGGAAAATTCTGTAAAGTCTAAAAGCTTGTTTTTAGTTCTAATGCTTTTCCTGCTTACAAGTGTGTCACATCTCTTGGGTAGTCATGAGCAATGTAAACTATGCGCAAGACCCACACTGCATTCTGACTGTGCCACTTGGAAAGTCACTCAACATTTCTGATGTCTATTTTAAAAATGGGTACAGCTACAGTACTGCTCCATGGCATTATTAAGAGAACTGAGATAAGAGATGGGTATGCCTGGCCCTGGAACATTATCAATGTTAAAATGTTAGTTTTATAATTTAAAATGAATTCCCTCTCCAACCCCAACGTCCATTTAAGTGCATCTACAAATTTGTATCTTTTTCAGAAATTACCTTCATTTGGAAGCATGTGTCACTGACTTACTGAGGTGCTGCTATGTTGTTATAAAAAGATCAAGACAGACAGTCCTTCCATCCTAATGGTCAGCTTCAGGAATCATGCAAATAGCCTATGTCTCACCAAAAAAACATTTTAACAGGTGAAGAAATACGTAAAGGCATTAGCCCAAGACTTAACAGGGTATAATAACATACTCTATGCCAGAGGTTGAAGTGCCTGGAAGCATTGTAGAGAAACTAAAATTTAAACAGATATTCTATAGAAGAGCATTTTGGGGCCTAATTAGAAAGAAATTCCCATTCTTTTGGACTTTATAATGAAACACTAGGTACTATTTCTAATATAGGATTATAAAAAATGAATGTGTTAATAACAAGATTTACCCAGATTAAATCAGAGCATTAATTCATTTTTTATCTCCTTTTTTAAAAAGCCAATAGTAATCAATCCAGAGAAAAATCACAAAGGATACATAATATGCAAATTAACATACAAGATACTATCTTCACCTTCAGTACCTGAAAACCCACTGCTTCTTTCATTTTACCACCAGGACTTTGAAGAGTCTGGATATACACATGCAGTAATACCCTATGGCCTCTAAATCTCCAGAAGCCTCATTATCATCCAAAACAAATTCTTCCCTGTAAGTTCATCAGCCCCTGCTTGTCCTTTTCATGGTGCTTCCATGGAAATTCTGTCTTCTACAGACAAAATTCTCCTTTAACCATACTATGCTCTCCCCAAACTGGATGAAAATTGGCAACACACACACACACACATACAGTTTCCCCCTGTGTGAATCCAAGTCCTTCATAAACCTTTCCAAATATGAGCATTCTTTTCTCTCTCTGCTTAAGGAATCAGTGAGATCATTATTTCATCTTTTTTTGCTACTGCCCTCTGCTGTGGACCATCCTCAGCCCACTACCTTTGTCATCATTATTAAGTTTCCTCCAGTTGTTACCCTCCTAGTCCCCTTTTCCTTTTGTAACTGAGTAAGTAGAAAGCAAACAATTGTGCATTGTTACCATATGGCATTTAGCTGATACAGCCTTTGTCACTGTGGCTGGCCACTAGTGAGTATTTGTATAATGGTCCATCTCTCAACCTCTAGCACCTCACCTCCTCTTCTGTTCTACCCTGTCGTATCTTACATCACTGAAACGTGCTCAGCTTTTAATTATTTAATCTTACAGATGACTAAGTGGGCTTCACTGTTCCTATGTGCTTAAAAGTTTTCATTTTAAAGAAAAGCTTAACTTCCTTTGTTAACCCTCTCTGATTTGATCCACCCTTCTCCCTTCTTCGCTGATGATATGCCCTGATAAGCACTGTATAGTCAACTTGCATCTACTTCCCTTTTCTCACAGTGTCCCAACCCAGGCATCTGATCTTCTCCTGAGCATTTCTGTGATAGTATGGAGGTCACTCTGTTGCCCAACACCAGGCCCATATGGCCTCCAGGACCTCTCATGACCTTCCTGGACCACCCAGCACTGCTTGGAGAAAAGCACAGTCAAGGGTGTGACTGACTCAGCAGACACATTTGGATCTCCTATGTACAGTCCAAATTGCTACCTTTTCTCTATCTTCATCTTCCTTCTTAGTTGATGACATTATCAGCCATTCTCTTGAGGATTAACTGGTTTTACTGTATAATTAAAAAACACTCCAAAAGGACAGGTAGGCATGGATGTGAATGGATAGTAAATTCATTTAATAAATCTGGAACAGATTCTGCACTTTATAAATGGGATGCATGTTTCATAAACAGATGACTGACTGATGAATTACAAGCTGTTTTATCTCACATAGCCTTCTGCACATACACCGTACCTTAACTTAAATGAGTGATTCACAACACTTCTACTTTCGTTATACAAGAGTATAATATTTCAACAATTGTAATAATTATTAATAACGTGTAGTCAAGTATCTACCCCTACATTTATATTAGTACCTGATATTCTTAGTAATTTCACATGAAATACAATTGTTTTTAATATTTGTTCAAATATAAAATGACATTTCTACAGATATGGTTCAATTGGGGGTGAGTTCCAGAAGTTGAACTCAGGACCTCATGCTTGCCATGCAGGTGAATTAAAAAAATTATATAATCCTGCCATTCTTTAACTTTTAAACATCAGTTCAAGGTTTCAGGTCTGCCCAGGACATGCCCAGTGACCTCCCAAACAGCTGGCTGGGGTAAGTCCGTGCGCCATGCCGAGCCCTGGGGAGACTTTAAGATCATCTCTTTCAGAGCTCAAGGACCAGCCCAGAACTCAGACACACTGGGCTGTGCTTGGCAGGTTTTAGGCCTGCCCGGCACATGTCCAGTGACCTTCTCTCAAACAGGAAACTCAGTGGCCATGAAGGTAAATTTGCGCGGCCCTGAGACCCAGGAGACTTTAAGATCATCTTTTCCAGAGCTCAAGGACCCATCTAGAGCCCAGGCACACTAGACTAGACTTGGGAGGTTTTGTGGACCAACTAGGTTACGCCCAGTGACCTTCAATTACAGGATTTGAGAGTAGGTGAAGTGAGTCCCAGGGCATTGGTCTTCGCCCAGGGAGAGCTTCAACCCATCATCCACAGTGGTTAGGTGCCTGCCCAGCTACTCAAAACACTGAAGGTGGCACGGAAGGGCCTGAGGGCCTAACTGGACCAGGCTCAGCAACTTTCATTCAGTCCCAGGAGCCTAGGGCATGGGAGATGATTTTCAACACATCCATGGGAAGCCTTGGAACAACACTTGAAGCATAGAAATATAGGAAAATCACAAAGCGAAAGACCAAAATGCAATCTCAAACCTCCAGCCCATCACAAGAAACCTTAGGAGCTATGTACATAGAAGAAAATATATGCCATACACCTGAAATATCTGAAACAATAGCAACTGAAATACAGAAGCAACTCTGGGAAGCTTTAAAGGAATTCAAACTAGAACTAATCTCCCAGGTAAAAGAAGAAATGATAAAAGTAATGAAAGAGATGCTGAACATATCTAAAGAAGACACAGTTAAAAAATTGGAGGAACTAAACAAAAAGGTAGAATCCCTGAATGAACAATATAAGAAACAAACAGAACATAAAGCATATGCAAAGAGACACACAGGAAATCAAAAATTCCATTGAAAGTTGTAAAAACCGCCTCAATGAAAGTGAAGATAGAATTTCAGACCTCAAAGACAGGACTGTAGCCAGTGAACAGGAAAGGCAAGATATTTTAAAAATAACAAGGAATCAGGAAATAACAATTCAACAACTGCAAGATGATGCAAAGAAAAACAACATATGATTGATAGGGATTAATGAAAAAGAAGAGGACAACATAAAAGATGTCAAGAGGATATTTAGAGAAGTAATAGCTGAAAATTTCCCAAAAATGAGAACAGAAACTGACATCAGGGATCAGTGAAGCATACAGAACTCCAAATAGTCATAACCAAAATAAAACTACACCCAGACACATAATATTCACCATCCCAGAAATCCAAATACGAATAAAATATTAAAAGCTGTCAGAAAGAAAAGACAGATCACCTATAAAGGAAAACCTATCAAAATCACAGCAGACTTCTCAGCACAAACAATAAAGTCAAGAAGAGCATGGAGTGAAGTATTTCAGATCCTAAAGGAAAACGATTTCCAACCCAGATTGATATACCCTGAAAAACTGTCCTTCAATATCCATGGAGAAATAAGATACTTCCATGACAAAGAATAGCTGAAGAACTTCATGATCACCAAGCCAACCCAGCAAATACTGAAAGTTTAGATACACTTAGGAAAAAACCACTAAGCAAAGCAGACAATTAAACAGAACAGAAAGATAAAGATTCAACAGCAGAAAGATAACATGT